TTTAAAAATCGAATGTCGAAATGAACAGAGAGAGAACGATGAATGAATGATGAGAGAGAACAGTGTTACCAACATTGACGATAGTTTTATACCGTATATTGTTTTAAGACTTAAAATTGCAAAAATCATCTCTATTTAGAATGAAACTCTATAGAATAAATTGAAGAACGTTTTTATACATATTTTACATCTGCATTGCATTTATGATAAAACTTTCTTGCTAATAGTAGAACTCTGCAGTGATTCACCATTGGCTTAGTGACATATTTTAATTTATCGGTTTATCGACAATGCTTAATTAAAATTGTATATATAACTACATTTCAAAACGTTTACTCAGCGAATGCAACTCTATTAATAAAAAATATAAATAAAAACTAAAACAAATCCTACGCAATCTAGCCATTATCTGCTTCGGCCAATCGCTACACGTAAATAATAACATATACGTAAATGCATAATGCAATGAGCATTCGCTTTAGTAATCGAATTACGTAGCTGATAGTAAATTTTAGAAACGATTTAAACTGCTAAAAAAAGTTGATACAACTGGTGTAGCCCACTGAGTTTCTCGCAGGATCTTTTTAGTGGGTCGCGTTTTCGATCCGGTGGTAGATTCTGCGAAGCTCTGCCCTTGCTAGGGCCAGTGTTGGCAACACTCTGGTTTGAGCTTTGTGAGCTTACCTACACGTCAAGGAGAAGCTGAAATAGCCTCTCAAGGTTATCAGCATAGGTAGGGGAAAAAAAGCAACTGGCGCTAATTCATTTTTGCACACTTCCAGAATTAACTTTATTTTTAACTGAGTTAAAAAATGGAGGTTTTTAATTCGACTGTTTTTTGTTTATTTGTATAATATCAGAGCTTTTTTTTTTCTTCTATGAGGACAAATTACGATGATTCTTCTATTATTTGAAAGCCAGTAATTCTCGCAACATCTGATCAGTACTATTTGAGTAACCCTTAATAATGCATATTTATTTAACTTCCGATTGCATTGCCTTACTTAGTTCTATGAAAAATATTCGGTGATTACAGAAATACGTATTTTCCAGCTTACGTGCCCAATCAAGGAAGAACAGCTCGTACTCCTTGGAACCGCGAATTAAACTGGTCACGTATGCGTCGGGTAATATATGTAGGTAATAGATAGAGCTTTGTTTATCAGCGTGTGTGGTCAATACATTAATATGCGATTGCAGACATTGTAGTTTATTTATACACACGGTTTATAATGACACACGGTTTTTTGTGCTCACTGGAGAGAAGGGCTGGTGGTAGGACCTCTTGGGAGTCCGCACAGGTAGGTATCACCACCCTGCCTATTTCTGCCGTGAAGCAGTAATGCGTTTCGGTTTGAACGGCGGAGCAGCCGTCGTAACTATACTGAGACTTTAGAACTTATATCTCAAGGTGGGTAGCGACATTTACGTTGTAGATGTCTATGGGTTCCAGTAACCACTTAACACCAGGTGGGCTGTGAGCTCGTCCACCCATCTAAGCAATAAAAAAAGGAATGTTGTTTTTTTTAATGCTTAATTGTGAGGATTAGCTCACGGTTCACCAGTGTATAGAAAGTGTTTGAGTTTATGAACAACAACACAACGTGAATGCTGTCGTCGACCTTGAGATGGTGTCAAAGTCTCGGTGGTGCACCTGAAATGCATTACTGCTTCGCGGCAAAATCAGGCAGGATGATTTTTCCATACCAGCAGCTACGTTTAGGCATTCTATTCGACCGCGTCAACTTCAGCGGCGTTTAGATTAGGCGTTACTCAGCTTATTTGCAATATATATAAAAATGAATAGCTGTTCGTTAGTCTCGCTAAAACTCGAGAACGGCTGGACCGATTTGGCTAATTTTGGTCTTGAATTATTTCTGGAAGTCCAGAGAAGGTTTAAAAGGTAGATAAATATGAAAATGCTCGAAATTCAATAAAAATAACAATTTTGTTTTTCCTTTGATGTGTCCCCCGTCGGACGGATTCCTTTTGTTTGTTTTAAGTTTATTTTATACAAAAGTTTAGGTATTTTATTTCTCGATTGAGGCACTACGAAGTCTGTCGGGTCAGCTAGTTTGCAATAAAAATTCACAATCAACACGATAAACATAGCGGGGAAGGCAAATTAAAACAAAACCTAGAACTCGAGCTCGCAAAAGTTCGCATATATCGTCGCAGTACGAGGTAGTCATTCAATAATGTGCAATAAATTAATCAAAACTAATGAAATTAAAAAAAAACATATACACACATTCCAGTACTTTCTATTTTTAATGGGATTTCCTAACGATTGTGGCACGTTCCTAACGTACGCACAATAATTACAGCAGAAGAAATTATGCAATTTTTTAACACGCTTTTGTTAGTTTGGCATTTATCTACGTGTAATTGTTTGTATGTAACAGAATCTTTGAACGTAATTATTTTCACCGACTTCGCGAGGTTCAATTCACTTTTTTATTCTTTTTTTTTATTCTTTATTAAAGCCATAAACCTATTAGGTTAAGTCGGCTAGGTTCAATTAATTTTTGTAAAAGAATCAAGGAACGAACAATACAATACCTATATATTAATAAATGAAGCAATAACTTTGTACCCCTTTTTACGAAAACTGCGCGGATGGAGGAGTATGAAATTTCCCACACTTATAGGGAATATAGAGAGGGAGTGCAGAATACTAATACTTATTTTTAATTATGCCTAAAAATACATTAAATCAATAAAAGAAACATGACACACACTACCATGCATTTGACACAACACACACACACACACACGTATATATAGCTATACTCTTCGTTTATTGTCAAACTTTTGTTATTGTTTAAAGTCTGGTCAAATTGAGAATAGATTAATATTGGTTGTCTTTAATATTATTTGTCCATAATGTAGTCTTGGCGAAATCTGTGATTATAGGTACTAAAATAAGTCTTTGACAATAGAACTATAATAATAATGTTCAAAACTTATAATTTCATTTAATTATAGCCGAATTTCGACTACCGGGAGATCACTAGTTTTTATAACTTCGCTCCAAATATCCGGACATTCGGTCCAGTATCAAAATAATTATCAAAAAATTATTATTTGATAGTTCGATTTGCTATTTAAGCGTGTTTTGTTAGTTTTTTAACCTACTTAATGCACCTTTAGAATTGAAGTGGCTTAATCCAAAGTCCTTGTTATTTAGTCAAGTCCAAAAATGTAATTGAAGATTTATAATTTTTTAGTTTATCGATTTTGTAAGACATGCATTTGATTTAAAAGAGACGGAAAGAGTACGTTTGACCTTTTCTCGACTAAAAGAGACTGTTCAATTTTATAAATCGATAGAGCACATGTTCATAAGTCGCTCGTAGTATAAAATTCATTTACTTAATTTTTTTAGTTAAGGCATTTCAATTGTATAGGTGTGATTTATTATTGCGTTTCTCTATGAGTGTATTTAGTTCATGTATTAAATATTTTGATCGCATCTTTCGTGTATTATTAGTTCGTAATAGTTAGTATTTCAATAAAATACTTGTTTTAAAACGAGTTTCACAGACGCTCGCACAAGTACCGTAAACGAAAAAAAAGGATATACCTAATACTAAAACATCTCTAAGTTTTACCCTTGCGTATCTTGAAATGGCAATACTAATTCTGGTAAATTTCGAGAATTTTGTTACTCAGGTAGAAACCTTTTCTTTCTGCGTAGGTATCAACAAACTTAGTTTTGTAGTGGTTTGAAGTTTTAAACTTCCGTAAAATTCTTAGAATTAAACCTGTTTCATTATAAAAAAATAATTTTAGATAGTGTGCACTAGTGTAGGTAGAGTCAGCGAAAACATTTTGAAATACAAAACAATCGTTTTCTTTTTTCTACCTTAGCTGATATAGCTGACGCTGAAATAGCCTTGAGAGGCTATTTCAGCGTAACCTTAGCTAGTAGGTGAGCTCACAAGGCTCAAACCGGAGTGATGCTAACACTGACCCTAGCAAGAGCAGTGCTTCGCAGAATCTACCACCGGATCGGAAACGCGACCCACTGAGAAGATCCGGCGAGAAACTCAGTGGACTGTGTCTGTGGGTTAATTCGCTGGTCGATCCCTTCGTCGCAAGCGACGGGTTTCACGAGGACGGTGACCGGTACTTGTGGTACCTAAAAGCACCGCTAATGGATCGGGAGGATCCGTAATGACGTGATGAAGCAATCGTGCCATTTACTTGAAGATAAGGGTTGATTTCAATAACGGCGCTGTTCTGCTGGTATAATCGGTGTCGCAGTGGCGCTTACATCTTTCACAGACAGAGGGACATTGGTCATGAAATAATTATATATTTAAGAGACACGCAATTTAAAAAGTACTATGTGTATGTATCTAGGATAATTGTGCTCAAATGTTGTCACAGTTTGAGGGTCTAAGCCCTAAGCCAAACTCTACTAAATAGTAATTGTTGTATAAACTCGGGTGCATCTACAAAATAGACGCACTCCACACATTGTCCGGGTGCTTCCCGTCGCGGGCACGAAACCTGCAGAGCCGGAACAGACGTACTCTCCCTCTTAAGCTAATTATGACTGAATTAAATATTACGTTTATTATCTATTATTACTGAATACTTTTACTGAATAATGTATGATTAACTCTAAAAGATAGATAGATTATAGTACGGATTATAAAAATTTAGACTCCTAAAATCTATGTTCTAAATAGGCAAGGCGAAACAATAAAGTGCCATTCTCTACTCTGCCTGTGAATCGATTTTCTTTTTTTTATCTCTTGAACGAAGATTGAAAACGAACGTAGGTACCTAATTCGTAATGTTTTTTTTTGCTATAAAACGAAAACATACCAAAACAAAAGGGAATATAGCATCTGTACATAAAATAATCTAAAATTTAAAGACTTCGTGATTATCATCAAATTTCGATCATTGGACGATCACTAATAATTATTCATAATGGCTAATTCATTTAAATTGTACATTTAAATAAAAACAACAAAGCAACTCACCAGTGAATAAAAGTTCTTGAGGTAATTTTCTGTCTGCCAGAAAAACAACAGTTCAAAGAGTTCAAACTAGGTAAATACTTTTATTGAAAAACAACTTTCAATACACAGAAATCTTAAAATCTGGTTTATTATACCTGTATGTATGCATCGAGTATAGGCACTTCAGAAGGTTCTGTCTGACCGTCTCCAATGGTACAATTGTAGCACTTAAGTAATGTTTTTTTTATGAAATAAATTGTTGTTCGTTTAGTAACGTTCGTTCGATGTTTCGTATCGTAGGTGCAACCAGTTAGACAAAGCACGAAGTGACTGTTTATCTACATAACTTAGTTAGATTGGAGAACTGGCTGTTCGCCAGGCCACAGTCGCGTGCGACGCGCTTTACGGCCGAAGGCGCACAGATTATGCTGGACTGTTACAGACGCTATAGTGTAAACGCGAACGATGCGCCATCTGTGGAAGGCGGCCATCGGCGTGTGCGCCATGGTACTGCATAGATTACTATAGAACGCAAAGATACTTTGAGGTGAATGAAGTTAGCCCCTCAAAAAAATTTTTTTGAAGTGTAATTTTTTTTTTATAGGTTATGTAGGTATTGAAAGTGTTGGAAAATTATTTCATGTTTTAGCTGGAAAACGACATGGGGAATTATATGCAATACAAAATAATGGGCTTCATCAAATGAATTCGAATGAAACCAAACTGTTTACCATCCAAATTCGATTGTCGGGCAGATAGAAAACGAAAATTCACTCAAAGTGAACCTCGGCCTGCATTTGTGAAACGGCAAAGACTCACTATTATCAAGGAGATTGAAGAGACGACTAAAAATGAGATGTCATATTATTATACCTTTGACATCTTGTAGTCAAGGTAGGTGTAACTGTCAATAATTAGTTACACTCACAGATCTCATAATCAAATAACAATATCAGAAAAAAGGAGAATAGTTAGTTAGTTAGCCAAAATGGGCAAGTGGATCTCAGTTCCTATTACATAAGGTACTAGGAAGTTTGTGATAATGAAAATTTATCACAGTGTAATATCACTTACATAATTTAACAGTGAAGGAAAACATTGTGATGCAACCTGCACACCTACATGTTCTTACGATTATCTTGTATTGCATATAATTCTCCATGTCGTTTTCCAGCTAAAACATGAAATAATTTTCCAATACTTCAATACATAACTTATAAAAAAAATAATGTTATTTTACTAATGTTAGGAATATAATTTCGACTGTGTAAAAAAGTTATTATAATGTATACCTACATTATCTCTTGAAAGATAAATAATGAACATATTTACTTATTTGTTTATATTACCTATGTGAACTCTTCATAACGATAGGTAGGAGGATGGAAAAAATGTATTTGGTCTAACTTTACGCGAATGCACATTATTTTATTATATTTATTTTTTAATTTTTTTAATTAAACTGTATACCAATTAATTGATCCTTCAGGATTTATAATTGTTTTTTTTTCACGATTTAAACCGCGTAGAATGGTTAGGCATTATAGTTGACGCATGCGCAGTACACATAATAATATTATTTTGCATACATTTATTCAACTAATAGAAATAGTTAATTAAACAAAAAATGAGTAATTTCGAAAGAGAACAAACGTATTTTATATAAGAACAATCGAAAATGAATATTTACGAGTCATTAAGGACGAAAAAATATTAAAAATTGCAATCGGGGGGCTAACTTGTAGATATATTTGTAATAATTTTTTTAAAATAAATAAATGCAGGACAAACAATTATTAACAGTCAACAATCAAGAACAAATGATGAACAAACGAATTAATAGAAAATAAGTAGAAAATAAGAAAAAAAATTTTTTTTGAGGGGCTAACTTCAGTCACCTGATACTTTGTGTGTACCTCTATGTTAACCAGTTGTGACTTGTGTTGGTATCTACAATATCAAAATACTTTATGATTTAAAATGCATCCAATGGTCGGGAAATTAATTTGAAAATAAAAATCGGTATTACGATGAGATATTTGAATTTATCCATAAGATCCATTTGATTTGTAAAAGTGGCGGATGAAAGGCGATTGCATGTAGCAGAGATGCGAATGTTGCGATGGATGTGTGGAGAATGGATAGAATACGGAATGAATATGTTAGAGGAAGTCTGAAAGTGGCACCTGTGACAGAGAAGCTGAGAAGTGCGCGTTTGGGATGGTATGGACATGTGATGAGACGAAATGAAAATGAGGTTGGTAAGAATATGTTAACTATGAATGTGGAAGGATATAGAGGAAGAGATAGACCTAAGAAGAAATGGATGGATTGCGTGAAAGACGATATGGGTAAGAGGGGAGTGAGCGAAGAAATAGTCTATGATAGAGGAGTATGAAAGGAAGAAAACATGTTGCGCCGACCCCAGGTAACTGGGAGAAGGGCAGGATAATGATGATGATGATGATCAATTTCATTTGTACTCTTTGGCGGGAATGGGCGAAGCGAAATTGTATGATTTGTGTTGTGTTGTTAAATAATTTAAACGTATAATAAAAGTGGCTTAATTAACTTCTAAAATTTGTAAAAAATTACATGGGTGGAAAAATAATAATAAATAATAAATATTTAATAACAATCACGCCACGTTAACTGGTCCCGTGCTAAGTCCGTAAAGAGCTTGTGTTACAGATACCAGATAACGGAAATAAATGTAAGATATGTACAAGTTCCGAACGACAATATTAGGACCTTCGGTCTACCGAGCAATATCACCCACTCGGTGGTAGATCTTCCCATTTTCTGTCACAATTTTACTGTGACATTATTTGGGATCAATCAATTTCATTCTATCGCACTCCATTTGACTTTTAAAAGATATGCCTTCAGTATTTGATAGCAAAATAAAATATGAGACCGTATGATACCTTTGCCCTTCCTTAGTTGGAAAAATGAAACTAATACTATTACTACTGTCATTTTCTAGACTTTTTAGCGGGAACGCTAGGAGTGAAGTTGTATGATTTGTTTTAATTTGTCTATTTAGTGTTTCTTTAGGTTTAAGTACGTAATAACCTCTGCCTTTCCAGTTGGAAAAATAAAACTACTACTACTGTCATTTTCTATGGAGGGTAGAAGTAAGGAGCACTATCTCAGTGAAGCTAGCGCTATTTCAATGAGTCTTCCAACAATAACTTAGTGTTTATAGGTGGACACTTTTTCAACCTGTCCCTTAAACAAAATGGTGTTCCTTACTTCCACCGTCCATGTTATTTTTATAATATGGATGTTCATTGTGTTTGCTTATTTTCGCAAAAAAATATTTTATTTTGGTGAAAATGACCTGTTTTATTTTAGTTATTGACTCATTAGCGTTGTCATGAAGCAGCAGTGGCCTAGAGCGAATGACCAATCTCGGTTGTTTAGCAGCTAATTCTTCCTTCATGGTTTGCAGTTGCTGACAATAGATATCTGCGGTAATCGTTTGGCCAGATTTTAGAAAGCTGTAGTGAACGACACGAGCGCTAGTCCACCAAACACTCACAAGTAACTTTTTCTGAGTCAATTTTCGTTTAGGGCAGGATTTGGCTGGGTCTCCAGGGTTCAGCCATTGCGACGAGCGCTTCCGATTATCGTACAGTATCCACTTTACATTACAAGTAATGATTCCATTTACAATCCCTTCATTATTGAGTCGGTTGAGCAAAGTAACACAGCAGTCGACGCGTGTTTACAAGTTCGATTCACTCAATTCATGAGGTACCCATTGTTCAAGTTTATTTACTTTCTCGATTTGCTTTAAGTGAATTAATACCGTTTTATCACTTACCCCGATGCCTGCAGCTATCTCTGAAGTGCTTTGTGATGGATCCGCTTCCACAATAGCCTTTAATTCTTCATTTTTGTTTTTTGTCTCTGGCGGTTCAAGGGGCTTAGGTCGAAATTTCCAGAACTAAAACGTTGAAACCAAAAACATACCGTGCTTTCTTTTGCAACACCAGCGCCGTACACATCATTAAACCTTCGAGCTGTTTCTGCAGCACTGGTGCCACGGTAGAACTCGTATTCGTAAATATACCGATATTTCATGTTTTCCATTGTGCGGCAATAAGCGACGCCAATGAAAAAAATAATGAGGATAAAACAAATCAATGACTGTTTTCAAAATTCAAATGACCAGCTAAATTAGTTTATAAATTTGAATTTGGAATTCTTAACCAAACAGGAGATATTTCAGATATGTAAGGGCCTAATAGTTGGTTAATTTCAGACGATCGGTTATTTCTATCAAGGCTCTCTATCTATAGAAATTATTTCTCAATAAACGATAACAATTAACAAGCTAACAGTTAACAATGAAATGGTTAGAGCTACTTAGATCATTGTTTCGCAGTTTTTCACGTAAAAAGGTAATTTAGGCATAACTTATTTTTACTTCAGTCAGTTGATGCAATCGCAATATGAACATACGACCACAAATACGCAGACAGCTTTAATAGATTAATAATAAATAAATACTATTTGGGAATATGGATTTTATTAATAATTCAATTCAATTACGTCAAAGAAGTATATACTTATATCTATTGAATTTATAACACTACAAGAAGTGAAGTCGTCATAGCCTAAAGGAAACATGCGCGGTGAATTTGTGTGAAACGAAGTGACTATGTCGGTGTTCGGATCTCGCAGGCAAGTACTAATAAGTTTTCTAATGAAATACATATTTAATAATTGTTACGGATATTTTCCACGGTGAAGCAATAACGTCGTGTAATGAAAATAAAAAAATTATAGTTTGCGTAATTATTACTAGTGTTAGGTCGATTTCTGGTCCGGACGTGTAGGTACCACCACCCTGTCTATTTCAGCAGAAATGCGTTTCGGTTCGAAGGGTTGTCGTTGTACTATAAAACTGACACTTAGAATTACTGTCTCAAGGAGTGTGGCGGTATTTACGTGGTTGATTTCTACGGGCTCCGGTAACGACTTAACACCAGGTGGACTGTGAGCTTGTTCACCCATTTAAGCAATAAACCTTTTAAGTGTGTACATTAAGTATTTGTAATTTTAATTTTTATTTGTCGCAAGACTGCACTGTAGTCCATTCAATGTAATGTTAAACGGTGATCAAGAGTACTGAAAGACATCCAGGCTCTATCCGGCCACTGAGTTTCTCGCCGGATCTTCTCAGTGGGTCGCGTTTCCGATACCGTGGTAGATTCTGCGAAGCACTGCTCTTGCTAGGGCCAGTGTTAGCAACACCTCTAGTTTGAGCCCAGAGAGCTCACCTACACGCTAGGTTTAAACTGAAATAGCCTCTCAAGGCTATCAGCATAGGTAGGAAAAAAAAAACAGGCTACATCCTCATCAAGGCATAGGCCTGATGCTCTAAGCTGGAAACTATA